CATTGTGCTTGTGGTGCCTTGCCGCCGTCCGCCATGGTTCGAACGCCCCTCATTACGCATCATTCTTGCACGGCTGTGGTCCCCTCTGTCCCACCACCGAAAACTGGCCATACCCCCACTATCCCACCGATTAAACTCCTCCATTGAGGTTGTGGTGCGTGCCCGCTGTCCGCCGCCATCCGTCGCCGCCGAACGCCCTCATTTCGCGTTTGAATCTTCTCTGCTCTGTGAGTATCCTCTTCTTTCATTCTTTTCAATTTTTCTTGGTTTGTTGAATGTTTTGACCATGAAAATCTGTTATATATGAAATGGGTTTGTTAGTTTTACATTATGGTTGGCTTATATTGTTCATTTTATATTTTTTATGTGGTTGAACCGTTGATTGGTGTTGATTGGTGGGCATTGGATGTGAGAAAACCTTAATTCCTTCTTATATACTGTATTAGAAACATGTTTAAATGTTTGGAGTTAATTAATTGTGAAGTTTTTAAATTTTTTTATAATTTTTTGATATTTATTTCGAATTTTTGGTAATTTTTTTGTAATAAATATAAGAATTTAGTAATAAATAATTTGTTTGTTATTTGGTGTTTTTTTTCTTTGATATGAATTTTGATTGATAGTAAAATGTTGTTTAAATAATCTGTAGAACAATGGATCGTAATTGGATGAAAGCTAAGAGAATTAGCAAGGAATATGAGGATGGGGTTGAAAATTTTCTTGAGTTTGCTCAGAGAAATGCCCCTAGTAAAAGAGATGGATTATACTATTGTCCTTGTGTTAAATGTTTAAACAATAGTCGACGGAGTATTTCTGAGATAAAAGAGCATCTTATCTGTGATGGGATAAATTTGAGGTATACAAATTGGATATGGCATGGAGAAATTAGAAAGACTACACTGTCTGCAAATGAGAAGGTTGTGAATGAAGACTTTGGTGATAGAATTCGGATATGTTTCGTGATATAAGGTCTGAATCATCTACACAGTTCTCTTCCACCTTTGAAACTTTGTGTAGTGATGCAGAGACACCTTTATACCCGGGGTGTAATATCCTAACTTTTTTTTAAAAAAAAAATAGAGTCAACTTTCCACCAACTTTTGGTGGAAAGTTGAATGTTACGGTGGAAAAGTTTGGATGTGGAAAAATTGGGAGAGGCTTGTGGAAATTTTGGCATCAGGAAGACTTTGGGGGAGAGAAGGAAGACTTTGGAAAGGAGAGTTAATGCACGAGGAAAAATGCTAAAGGGTGGTTAGAATTTACAGCATAAAAGGGAGAGGGGACGCAGAAGTTGGGAGAGAACGCGTGAGAGAAAGAGGGGAGGAGAGAAAGAGAGCGAGAAAGAAATAGAAAGAGCGTAGCAGCAGTCCTCGTGAAGGAGAAGGCTAGGCTTTGAAGATATTTTAGGTACACAAAATTACTTCTTTTTATCAAACTTTCTTTATAAATTTCCTGTATATTTTAAGCTTCCTATTTACGTTATTACTATAGTGATTGGAGAAAATTTTGAGACTTATATATGATCTAAGTATTGAGTTTTGACAAAAGTTGACTATAGAAATTTAGAAGTAAATCAGTTGTTAATTTTAATCGGTTTAGATTTCTCTATTTGTTAGTTTTAGTATTTAAATTAATTTATTTAGTGGAAAATATGTTATGTATGAGATATACCATGTTTTTTACCGATTAAATTCAAGTTAAGTAATTTATTTGGATTGTTGATATATTATTAAGATTTTAATCGTTTAGTTTTATTTATTGGGTGACTGGAGGTTTTAAAATAATTATTGTAGCTAAAAAGTTTATTATTTGTGGAAATATATATGTGTGGTAGTTATACCATTAAAGTTTTTGATTAGATTATTTATTTATAAATACTTGAAGTATTATTGAATTTTTGATAGTTTGATTTTGAGGTTTAAACTTAAAATGAGATTTTTTTTAGAATTTAGAACATAATATTTTACATTTAGAATTGTGGAAAATCCTTTTTATTAAGGTCAATAATTTGGAGGTGGTAAATAAATAATTTGGGTTGTTAGAAATTTTAGGTTGTTTCCAAAATACTTAATAATTTTTGGGTTATGAGAGTTGCGGGAATTTAGAATAAAAATTTAATTAAATTAGAATTAATAATATAGAGAAGTTTAATTAATTAGTTTATATTAATATGTGGTTATATTAATTGTGTAGATTAATTATTGGTTGAGCAAAGGATTGACCTTGTGGTAATCCTTAGTATTGCTTTGGTGAGAGGTAACCACTTTCCACTTGTTATATGTGCTAATATGTTGTTTGTGAGCATTTTGCTATTTGGTATAATGATTTGTTATTTGAAACTCGAATAGATAAATTATATCTTTTGAGCTATGAAAATTGTCTTGTGGGATTTTTGGAATTGTGATTGAGAAGTTTGGAAAGATATATGATTTATATCTTATGGATTATACTGGGAAAAGATTGAGACATTTTTGTTATATTTTGAATGGTTGGTGGTTATTTGGATTTTGGATTGAGCGCTATCCTACCACGTGGTAAGGCCGCCATTGGTGCACATTGGTTGGCTTCTTCCTTCGTCCCTAGAGTAAGGGATAGACCCTTGTGGCTTTTTATTCGTCCCCCAAAGTGTGGGATAGGCCTATAATAAGGGATGAATCTTTGTGAATACTTAATCGTCCCCCAAGGTATGGGATAGGCCTATAGGTCGGTTTGATCCCTTATAGTGAGGGATAGACTTATGTGGCTTGTGTGTTAGCCCCCGTAATGAGGGTTTGGATGATTGAGATTATTTGAGTATACATATTTGTATTTCATTGGTATATAGATATTGAGGTTTAATAATTATCCCACTTGACACCTCACGAGCACATGTTAGTATGTATGATGGGTTGGAAAGTTGGTTACTGAGGCGTTTGTCTCACCCCGTGGTTTAACATTTTCAGGCGATAGTTCAGGTGGTGGCCCATCAGGGAAGGCTCCGGAGGCATAGTGTGCTGTTATAGCTTGTATAGCCTCCATGCTTTTGTTCTATGTGCTGACTTGTTATATATTGCCACATAGGGCCCATATACTTTAATGCTGTAAACTAATACTTTTAACTACTACTATCTGATATGGGAGGTCATTGGAAGACCAGAGATATTTAAGACTTTGCATATTACACTCAGTTGATAGTGTTGACTTTTGACTAATGGGCTCTATGATTTCTATTAAAATGTTTTATCAGTTCCTGTGTTTGAAAGTGTAAGTTTGGTTTGGGCTAACGGTTGAATGATATTTCTGGACTTTGAAAGTCCAAGGCCCAAGTGAATGATTGATGTGGCTCGTAATATAAGTTTATTTCTTTTAACCATGATAGCGATTTTAAAATTTTAAGGTCTCTTCTTTTCTATCATGGTTAATCGTTCGAATAGATTGAAAATTTTGATCTAAATGGGTTTTAAAGGAACGGTTGTCACAATTTGGTATCAGAGCTAAAGATTCTGTGAAGTGGGTTGCATTACATTGCATTTAGTGGCAATATATAATAATCTCACATAACCTTCCCTGTTACTTTGTGTCTGTGTTTGTCCTTACTTTGTGTTTCTTTTGGTGGGTTCCATCCTTAGGTGGGGAGGATGGTATGGACGCGATCCCGACAAACTGATCAGGGTGGAGATGAATCCACAAACCCACCTAATCAACCACCGAATCCTTTGCAGTTTAACCAGGAGACTTTACTGCAACAGTTAAGGGAAGTGGTAGTTACGGTGGTAGATGAGAGAGTAAGAAAGATGGAGGAAGATTTAAGAGTCAAGAAAGCTGTGGAAGAGTTTGAAGGGAATGGGCTTCCTGGACCGTTGGTGGGAAATTCTATCACCCACAGGGGTTCTATTGAAGGAACCAGAGAAGAGAGTAGTTCATAAAGGCGACCAGGAAAAGAAGAAGCGGTGAACCTTAAAAGCATATGGAAGGACATAGAGCGGCATCACCCAAAGACGTTTGATGGGGGTATGGATCCTGACAAAGTTGAGGCTTGGATAGATGACATGGAGACAATATTTAAAGCTTGTGGCTGTAATACCTACCAAAAGGTACAAGCAGCGGTAGTTTTACTGAGGGACCGAGCTAAGAGGTGGTGGAGGAGCGTAAGCGGCATAGATGACTAGGGGATTACTTGGAACGAATTCAAACAGATGTTCTTTGATCACTACTTTCCCCCAGCCATGAGACAAGAAAAAGAAACAGCTTTTTATGCTCTTCGACAGGAGAACATGCATGAGGATGAGTTTATTGCCAAGTATATTGACCTCTCCAAGCATGTTACCTATCTGCAGCAGAATGATAACCCAAAGTGGATGGCCCAACAATTAATAGAACGGGCGAGGCCAGAGTTGAAACAACAAATGGCTTTATATGAGTTTAAGAGTTTCGAGGATGCCTGCACGAAACTCAGGATGACAGCTCGCAGAACCCGAGAGGTAGAGGAGAGCCGACGTCGGGATAATCAGGGCAGATTCTCTGGTTTTATGAGGCCAACGGGAGGAGTCAATAAGAAGGGTAGCTATAGTTATGGGAGCTCAGGGAGCTTCAGCAGAGGCAAGAACCAGAATCAGAAGGATTCAGCCCGTAGAGGCTATATGCAGAGGAGACAGGCTCAGGGGAGCCGTATGGGAGGAAATCAGAGCTTTTACCGTGAGCCTACCAAATCTACACCAAGTATTGGCGGTCCTTGCTCGAGATGTGGGAAGAATCATCCAGGACAATGTTTGGAATGCTACAGATGCCATAAGTTTGGACATATAGCTCGCAATTGTCCAGAAACGCAGCAGTAAACTCCTAGTTTCAGATCCACAGTGCCCGGGAGAGTTTTTGCTTTGACTAGAGAGGAAGTTGGTACGTCTCCTAATCTGATTAGAGGTACTGTCTCTCTTCAAGGACATGTTATACCTGTGTTGTTTGATTCTGGCGCCACTCATTCTTTTATTGCTGCGGAATGTGCTCAAAAGTTTAAATTTCCAATGCATGATTTGTCTTGCATGTTGAAAGTGTCAACTCCAGCGGGAGCCACTGTGTTAACCACACAGGCGTGGTTAAGTCTTGTACTTAAATTTGAGAATCGTGAGTCTGTGATTGATTTGATTTGTCTACCCTTCAAGGGTATTGACGTGATTATTGGCATGGATTGGCTATCAGCAAATAATGCCATTCTGGATTGCAAAAGGAAGATAGTAACTCTTCCTTTGTGTACTATGATAGTTGAGGCTATTAATGGTCGTTTGTGGTTGTCTGCTACTCAAGCAACTAAGTGTATTCAGAAGGGTTGTCAGGCGTATGCTGTTTTCTTTTCTGTTAGTACGGATAAAGAAGTTGGTATAGAGCAAATCGAGGTAGTAAAGGAGTTTCCTGAGGTATTTCCTCAGGGAGTGTCCAGTTTACCTCCTGAAAGGGAAGTTGAATTCTCCATTGAGCTAGTACCAGGGACAGCTCCAATTTCTAAAGCACCGTACAGAATGTCACCTTCTGAATTGGCATAGCTGAAAAAGCAAATCGAAGAGTTACTTGAAAAAGGATTTATTAGACCAAGTGTCTCACCATGGGGATCACTAGTACTGTTTGTGAGAAAGAAGGATGGGAGCTTGAGATTGTGTATAGATTACAGGCAGTTGAATAAAGTAACTATCAAGAACAAATATCCTTTGCCTAGGATTGATGACTTGCTAGATTAATTAATGGGGTCAGCAGTGTTTTCTAAGATTGACTTAAGGTCTGGATATCATCAATTAAGAGTTAGAGCAAAGGACATCCCAAAGACGGCTTTTCGTACCAGATACGGACATTACGAGTTTCTAGTAATGCCTTTTGGTTTGACGAATGCTCCGGCGGTGTTTATGGACTATATGAATTGGATCTTTAGGCCGTATTTGGACAAGTTTATTGTGGTGTTTATAGATGATATTCTGATATACTCTAAGAATGAGGAAGAACACCGAGAGCATCTTTACATTGCATTGCGAATATTGAGGGATCATCAGTTATATACTAAGTTGAGCAAGTGCGAGTTCTGGCTTAAAGAAGTGAAGTTCTTGGGCCATGTAGTATCCGCCGAGGGAGTAGCTGTTGATCCTAGCAAGGTCGATGCCGTGTTGAAATGGGAAACACCAAAATCTGTGACGGAGGTAAGAAGTTTCATGGGCTTAGCTGGGTATTACCGAAGATTCATCAAAGGATTTTCTCAAATCGCCATGCCTCTAACTAAGTTGACCAAGAAAGACCAACCGTTTATTTGGAGTGAAAAGTGTGAGGCGGCTTTCGAAGAACTGAAAGCTAAGTTGACCACGGCTCTAGTGTTGACTATTCCAGATCCTAGTAAACCGTACACCCTTTATACTGATGCTTCACTTAAGGGTTTAGGGTGTGTCCTAATGCAGGAAGGAAAGGCGGTTGCCTATGCATCTAGGCAATTAAGGCCACATGAGGAAAATTATCCTACGCATGACTTGGAATTAGCGGTGGTGGTTTTTGCATTAAAGATCTGGAGGCACTACTTATATGGATCACAGTTTGAAGTTTTCAGCGATCACAAGAGCCTGAAGTATTTAATAGATAAGAAGGAATTGAATAATAGACAACACCGGTGGATGGAATTCATCAAGGACTATGACTTTGAGTTTAAGTATCATCCGGGTAAAGCCAATGTGGTTGTAGATGCTTTGAGTAGGAAAACGGTGCATGTGTTTCACATGAGTTTGGAGGAATACTACTGCTTAGAGAGATTGAGAGATCTCCAAGTGATGCATGAGGCTCCAGCCACTCTACAATCAATTTTGGGTGATTATGAGTTCTTTCGAGATTTGAAGGCTGCACAGATGGAGGATGACCAGTTACTGAGCATTCGAGAGGAAGTGGAGACCCGTGGTGTGCTTGATTATGAAATTGGTGAAGAAGGAATCCTGAGGTACAAGAAGAGGATTTGTGTCCCTAATAATGAGGAAATCAAAAGGACTATTCTAGAAGAGGCGCATCGAAGTAATTACACGATACACCCAGGGATAACCAAGATGTACCAAGACCTGAAAAGGAACTATTGGTGGCCAAAAATGAAGAGGGATGTCACGGACTTTGTAATGAAATGTCTGACATGTCAAAAGGTCAAGATAGAACATCAGAGACCTCCAGGACTATTAAAGAATCTTGATATTCTCCAATGGAAATGGGATAGTATTTCCATGGATTTCATTACTGGTATGCCAAGAACCCCGGCTGGCTATGATGCGATATGGGTAATTGTAGATAGATTGACTAAGTCAGCGCACTTCCTGCCTATCAAGAGCACTTACTCGTTAGAACGATTGACAAAGTTGTATATAGATGAGATTGTTAGACTTCATGGAGTGCCAGAGTCTATCATTTCAGATAGGGACCCGAGATTTACATCGAACTTCTGGCAGTCATTACATGAAGCCATAGGCACCAAGCTCAAGTTTAGTACTGCTTATCATCCTCAGACTGATGGACAGACTAAGAGGACGATTCAGACTCTCGAGGACATGTTGAGGGCTTGCGCTATAGAGCTAAAGGGTAGTTGGGACACTCACTTGTCATTAGCTGAGTTTGCCTATAACAACAGCTATCACTCTAGCATTCAGATGGCACCATATGAGGCTTTATATGGGAGGAAATGTAGATCTCCACTTTGTTGGACTGAATTAAGTGAAAGAACAATTATTGGCCCAGATTTAGTGGACATCACAACTAGAAAGATTGAGCTGATCAAGCAGAAGTTGTTGATGGCCCAAAGTCGATAGAAGAGTTATGCAGATCGTCGAAGGAGACCTTTAGAATTTGAAGTGGGTGATCATGTATTTCTGAAGGTTTCACCTGTCACTGGTGTTGGTAGATCCATCAAAGCCAAGAAGCTTACACCCCGATTTATGGGTCCTTATGAGATTTTGGAGCGGATTGGACCTGTTGCATATCGAATTGCGCTGCCGCCACATCTTTCCAGTTTACACGACGTGTTCCACGTGTCACAGTTGAAAAAGTATCATCCCGATCCATCTCATATTATTGAACCCGAAGAGGTCGAGTTGCGAGATAATTTGACCCATCCAACAGAACCAGAGTGAATTTTGGACGTTAAGGACAAGCAATTGAGGAACAAAACTATCCGTCTTGTTAAGGTCTTCTGGAAGGGCATGAGTCCCGGTGATGCTACTTGGGAGACAGAGGAACGAATGCGTTACGATTACCCTTACCTGTTTTTTTAGTAAGCACTTTGAGTTACTTTTGTTTTTAATTTCTTGTGTGTGGTTGTTTGAATTTTGGGGACAAAATTCTAATTAGGTGGAGAGAATTGTAATATCCTAACTTTTTTTTAAAAAAAAAATAGAGTCAACTTTCCACCAACTTTTGGTGGAAAGTTGAAATGTTACGGTGGAAAAGTTTGGATGTGGAAAAATTGGGAGAGGCTTGTGGAAATTTTGGCATCAGGAAGACTTTGGGGGAGAGAAGGAAGACTTTGGAAAGGAGAGTTAATGCACGAAGGAAAAATGCTAAAGGGTGGTTAGAATTTGCAGCATAAAAGGGAGAGGGGACGCAGAAGTTGGGAGAGAACGCGTGAGAGAAAGAGGGGAGGAGAGAAAGAGAGCGAGAAAGAAATAGAAAGAGCGTAGCAGCAGTCCTCGTGAAGGAGAAGGCTAGGCTTTGAAGATATTTTAGGTACACAAAATTACTTCTTTTTATCAAACTTTCTTTATAAATATTTCCTGTATATTTTAAGCTTCCTATTTACGTTATTACTATAGTGATTGGAGAAAATTTTGAGACTTATATATGATCTAAGTATTGAGTTTTGACAAAAGTTGACTATAGAAATTTAGAAGTAAATCAGTTGTTAATTTTAATCGGTTTAGATTTCTCTATTTGTTAGTTTTAGTATTTAAATTAATTTATTTAGTGGAAAATATGTTATGTATGAGATATACCATGTTTTTACCGATTAAATTCAAGTTAAGTAATTTATTTGGATTGTTTGATATATTATTAAGATTTTAATCGGTTTAGTTTTATTTATTGGGTGACTGGAGGTTTTAAAATAATTATTGTAGCTAAAAAGTTTATTATTTGTGGAAATATATATGTGTGGTAGTTATACCATTAAAGTTTTTGATTAGATTATTTATTTATAAATACTTGAAGTATTATTGAATTTTTGATAGTTTGATTTTGAGGTTTAAACTTAAAATGAGATTTTTTTTAGAATTTAGAACATAATAATTTTACATTTAGAAATTGTGGAAAATCCTTTTTATTAAGGTCAATAATTTGGAGGTGGTAAATAAATAATTTGGGTTGTTAGAAATTTTAGGTTGTTTCCAAAATACTTAATAATTTTTGGGTTATGAGAGTTGCGGGAATTTAGAATAAAAATTTAATTAAATTAGAAATTTAATAATATAGAGAAGTTTAATTAATTAGTTTATATTAATATGTGGTTATATTAATTGTGTAGATTAATTATTGGTTGAGCAAAGGATTGACCTTGTGGTAATCCTTAGTATTGCTTTGGTGAGAGGTAACCACTTTCCACTTGTTATATGTGCTAATATGTTGTTTGTGAGCATTTTGCTATTTTGGTATAATGATTTGTTATTTGAAACTCGAATAGATAAATTATATCTTTTGAGCTATGAAAATTGTCTTGTGGGATTTTTGGAATTGTGATTGAGAAGTTTGGAAAAGATATATGATTTATATCTTATGGATTATACTGGGAAAAGATTGAGACATTTTTGTTATATTTTGAATGGTTGGTGGTTATTTGGATTTTGGATTGAGCGCTATCCTACCACGTGGTAAGGCCGCCATTGGTGCACATTGGTTGGCTTCTTCCTTCGTCCCTAGAGTAAGGGATAGACCCTTGTGGCTTTTTATTCGTCCCCCAAAGTGTGGGATAGGCCTATAATAAGGGATGAATCTTTGTGAATACTTAATCGTCCCCCAAGGTATGGGATAGGCCTATAGGTCGGTTTGATCCCTTATAGTGAGGGATAGACTTATGTGGCTTGTGTGTTAGCCCCCGTAATGAGGGTTTGGATGATTGAGATTATTTGAGTATACATATTTGTATTTTCATTGGTATATAGATATTGAGGTTTAATAATTATCCCACTTGACACCTCACGAGCACATGTTAGTATGTATGATGGGTTGGAAAGTTGGTTACTGAGGCGTTTGTCTCACCCCGTGGTTTAACATTTTCAGGCGATAGTTCAGGTGGTGGCCCATCAGGGAAGGCTCCGGAGGCATAGTGTGCTGTTATAGCTTGTATAGCCTCCATGCTTTTGTTCTATGTGCTGACTTGTTATATATTGCCACATAGGGCCCATATACTTTAATGCTGTAAACTAATACTTTTAACTACTACTATCTGATATGGGAGGTCATTGGAAGACCAGAGATATTTAAGACTTTGCATATTACACTCAGTTGATAGTGTTGACTTTTGACTAATGGGCTCTATGATTTCTATTAA